TGCCGCACCCACCTTGCAGGCGGCTCCCGGTTGGCCGAGCCCCTCTGGTTTGCTGTTTCCGCTTTGTGTTGTCTCCCGTTTTCCGAGCTTCTTTAACGATATACGGGTTGACGTGCATGATTTGACAGTGATTAAGACTCTATTTGCTGATCTTTATTTTTCCCATCTGATTATGCGCAGCTAAGTCTGATTCGCTGATCATTTGCCTAGTAAATACCACCTTCTGAGTTCGACGTCCGACAAACTGATCCTGCATCGAATCGCTGATTCGCTCCGCAGTACTGCTTCTCGGTTAGCGCATGAGACTCTGTTGCCATTCTTTAACACTGGCCGTGCATGACCGAACGCCCGTATGTGCGCCATTTCCGTCGCTGCCGGGCGCATTCGACGATCTCGTCGCCCAGTTGGTTCAGTCGTTATGTGCCGAGCTATGCCTAAGGGACCTGATAAGCCAATTTTATATGCCTACATATTAGCACCTTTATACTTTTCTAGAAATGTCTGCCACTATAAGTGCCTAAATCAAATCAGTTTTTTCGTGCGCGACGAAACAACTCACGCACCTACGCTCAACCGTGTTATTGGACCAATCATCCACCGCCCGACGGCGGGTCCTTGCGTAATTCTGAAGCTTCTAGCGGCAAAGCTAAAGCCACCTTATGGGAAAAGCAAGCCACCTTTGGTCAAAGATAGCCACTATATTGCAAAGTATAGCACTTATTAGAAAAGCTATAGCCACCATATGCGCCAAAGTATAGAACTTATGCCTTTCTAAATTCATGCCCGGCTTAAGAGCGCCTAAAATCAAATCAGTTTTTTTCGCCGCGATGAAACCACTCGACGACCTAGGTGATGTGTTTATTGACCAATCATCCACCGCGACGGGGGGTCCTCGCGCAATTTTGAAGCTTCTGGGTAAAGTATAGCACATTATGAGAAAGTATAGCACCTTTTGGCCAAAGTATAGCACTATATTGCAAAGTATAGCACTTTATTGGAAAAGTATAGCACCTTATTGGCAAAGTATAGCACCTTATGCTTTCTGAAAATTCTGCACCTTAAGTGTGTAAAATCAAATCAGTTTTTTTCGCCGCGACGAAACCACTCGACGACCTACGTCACGTGTTATTGACCAATCATCCACCGCGACGGGGGGTCCTCGCGCAATTTTGAAGCTTCTGGGCAAAGTATAGCACCTTATGGGAAAGTATAGCACCATTTGGCCAAAGTATAGCACTATATTGTAAATCATAGCACTTTATTGACAAAGTATAGCACTTTATTAGAAAAGTATAGCACCTTATCCTTTCTGGAAATTCTGCAGCTTAAGTGCCTAAAATCAAATCAGTTTTTTTCGCCGCGACGAAACCACTCGACGACCTACGTCACGTGTTATTGACCAATCATCCACCGCGACGGGGGGTCCTCGCGCAATTTTGAAGCTTCTGGGCAAAGTATAGCATCTTATGGGAAAGTATAGCACCTTTTGGCAAACGTATAGCACTATATTACAAAGTATAGCACTTTATTGACAAATTATAGCACCTTATTGGAAAAGTATAGCACCTTATTCTTTCTGGAAATTCTGCAGCTTAAGTGCCTAAAATCAAATCAGTTTTTTTCGCCGCGACGAAACCACTCGACGACCTACGTCACGTGTTATTGACCAATCATCCACCGTGACGGGGGGTCCTCGCGCAATTTTGAAGCTTCTGGGCAAAGTATAGCACCTTATAAAAAAGTATAGCACCTTTTGGCCAAAGTATAGCACTATATTGCAAAGTATAGCACTTTATTGGAAAAGTATAGCACCTTATTGGCAAAGTATAGCACCTTATACTTTCCAGAAATTCTGTAGCTTAAGAGCCTAAAATCAAATCAGTTTTTTTCACCGCGACGAAACCACTTGACGACCTACGTCACGTGTTATTGACCAATCATCCACCGCGACGGGGGGTCCTCGTGCAATTTTGAAGCTTCTGGGCAAAGTATAGCACCTTATAGGAAAGTATAGCACCATTTGACCAAAGTATAGCACTATATTACAAAGCATAGCACTTTATTGACAAAGTATAGCACCTTATTGGAAAAGTATAGCACCTTATACTTTCTGGAAATTCTGCAGCTTAAGTGCCTAAAATCAAATCAGTTTTTTTTGCCGCGACGAAATCACTCGATGACCTACGTCACGTGTTTATGACCAATCATCCACCGCGACGGGGGGTCCTCGCGCAATTTTGAAGCTTCTGGGCAAAGTATAGCACCTTATGAGAAAGTATAGCACCTTTTAGCCAAAGTATAACATTATATTGCAAAGTATAGCACTTTATTGACAAAGTATAGCACCTTATTGGAAAAGTATAGCAGCTTATGCTTTCTAGAAATTCTGCAGCTTAAGAGACTAAAATCAAATCAGTTTTTTTCGCCGCGACGAAACCACTCGACGACCTACGTCACGTGTTATTGACCAATCATCCACCGCGACGGGGGGTCCTCGCGCAATTTTGAAGCTTCTGGGCAAAGTATAGCATCTTATGGGAAAGTATAGCACCTTTTGGCAAACGTATAGCACTATATTGCAAAGTATAGCACTTTATTGACAAATTATAGCACCTTATTGGAAAAGTATAGCACCTTATTCTTTCTGGAAATTCTGCAGCTTACGTGCCTAAAATCAAATCAGTTTTCTTCGCCACGACGAAACCACTCGACGACCTACGTCACGTGTTATTGACCAATCATCCACCGCGACGGGGGGTCCTCGCGCAATTTTGAAGCTTCTGGGCAAAGTATAGCATCTTATGGGAAAGTATAGCACCTTTTGGCAAACGTATAGCACTATATTGCAAAGTATAGCACTTTATTGACAAATTATAGCACCTTATTGGAAAAGTATAGCACCTTATTCTTTCTGGAAATTCTGCAGCTTAAGTGCCTAAAATCAAATCAGTTTTTTTCGCCACGACGAAACCACTCGACGACCTACGTCACGTGTTATTGACCAATCATTCACCGCGACGGGGGGTCCTCGCGCAATTTTGAAGCTTCTAGGCAAAGTATAGCACCTTATAAAAAAGTATAGCACCTTTTGGCCAAAGTATAGCACTCTATTGTAAAGTATAGCACTTTATTGGAAAAGTATAACACCTTATTGGCAAAGTATAGCACCTTATACTTTTTAGAAATTCTGCTGCTTAAGAGCCTAAAATCAAATCAGTTTTTTTCACCGTGACGAAACCACTAGACGACCTACGTCACGTGTTATTGACCAATCATCCACCGCGACGGGGGGTCCTCGTGCAATTTTGAAGCTTCTGGGCAAAGTATAGCACCTTATAGGAAAGTATAGCACCATTTGACCAAAGTATAGCACTATATTACAAAGCATAGCACTTTATTGACAAAGTATAGCACCTTATTGGAAAAGTATAGCACCTTATACTTTCTGGAAATTCTGCAGCTTAAGTGCCTAAAATCAAATCAGTTTTTTTCGCCGCGACGAAATCACTCGATGACCTACGTTACGTGTTATTGACCAATCATCCTCTGCGACGGGGGGTCCTCGCGCAATTTTGAAGTTTCTGGGCAAAGTATAGCACCTTATGAGAAAGTATAGCACCTTTTAGCCAAAGTATAACACTATATTACAAAGCATAGCACTTTATTGACAAAGTATAGCAGCTTATTGGAAAAGTATAGCACCTTATACTTTCTGGAAATTCTGCAGCTGAAGTGCCTAAAATCAAATCAGTTTTTTTCGCCGCGACGAGACCACTCGACCACCTACGTCACGTGTTTTTGACCAATCATCCACCGTGACGGGGGGTCCTCGCGCAATTTTGAAGCTTCTGGGCAAAGTATAGCTCCTTATAGGAAAGTATAGCACCATTTGACCAAAGTATAGCACTATATTACAAAGCATAGCACTTTATTGACAAAGTATAACACCTTATTGGAAAAGTATAGCACCTTATACTTTCTGAAAATTCTGCTGCTTAAGTGCCTAAAATCAAATCAGTTTTTTTCACCGCGACGAAACCACTCGACGACCTACGTCACGTGTTATTGACCAATCATCCACCGCGACGGGGGGTCCTCGCGCAATTTTGAAGCTTCTAGGAAAAGTATAGCTCCTTATGGGAAAGTATAGCACCATTTGTCCAAAGTATAGCACTATATTGCAAAGCATAGCACTTTATTGACAAAGTATAGCACTTTATTGACAAAGTATAGCACTTTATTAGAAAAGTATAACACCTTATACTTTTTGGAAATTCTGCAGCTTAAGTGCCTAAAATCAAATCAGTTTTTTTCGCCGGGATAAAACCACTCGACGACCTACGTCACGTGTTATTGACCAATCATCCACCGCGACGGGGGGTCCTCGCGCAATTTTGAAGCTTCTGGGCAAAGTATAGCACCTTATGGGAAAGTATAGCACATTTTAGCCAAAGTATAGCACTATTACAAAGTATAGCACTTTATTGACAAAGTATAGCATCTTATTGGAAAAGTATAGCATCTTATACTTTTTGGAAATTCTGCAGCTTAAGTGCCTAAAATCAAATCAGTTTTTTTCGCCGCGACGAAACCACTCGACCACCTACGTCACGTGTTATTGACCAATCATCCACCGCGACGGGGGTCCTCGCGCAATTTTGAAGCTTCTGGGCAAAGTATAGCACCTTATGGGAAAGTATAGCACCTTTTGGCCAAAGTATAGCACTATATTACAAAGTATAGCACTTTATTGACAAAGTATAGCACCTTATTGGCAAAGTATAGCACCTTATACTTTCTGGAAATTCTGCAGCTTAAGTGTCTAAAATCAAATCAGTTTTTTTCGCCACGACGAAACCACTCGACGACCTACGTCACGTGTTTATTGACCAATCATCCACCGTAATGCAAATACTTGATAAGATAACATCAAAGGTTTTGAGTAATGTATACCAACCAGATATAACAATAACATTAACTGAAATAACATTAAAACTAACTGAAGTAGTTACACAAAATTTACAATAATCAAAATAGTTTGGTTGGTTACATGTTCGTCGATTGTGACCGAACTCCTTACATCGGCTACACTTCAACATTCTAGAAGGATTTAGTCCAGAAGGGATCCGCTTTGTTTTTGGCCTTCCTCTACGAATCGAGGTTAATGGAGGTCTAATCTCCATATTCTCATCCGTTATAATTGGCTTCTCATCATCAGGAATTGGATATATGGGAAAGGAGTGACACTTGCGGTACACCTCCATGCTGAAATAGTCAGAAATATATGGATACAATAGCTGATCTTTGTGCCTGATTACGGCGGCCGCATGCTTGCAAGGTAGTCCAAGAACTTGCCATTGGCGACAAGTACACGTGCAGTACTCCAAATTCACTCTAACAGATGGGGAATCATATACTTCATACAGAATCGACGTAGAAGGATTTACATGAAGACAACGTGCACCCTCGTTGATCAGGACAAGATGCTCCTCTACACTAGGAACAAGTGGTGTAGCCCATTTGTTGGATTCCTCACGTCTATCGTAGCTCATTTTCATCATCTTCACCCGGATGTGATCAACCAACTGCGCTATCGGTAAAAATCGGGCTTCCTTAATCCATGCGTTGAAGGACTCAGCTAGATTTGAGGTTAACCACCCATACCTGCAACCATGTTATAGCTATAGGATTATTCAAATGTTATACATGTTCAAACACACATATCAGAGAGTTCAATCACAAAGACCAAAAATATGTAAAAATGGTGACCTCTTTCCAGGAAAATAACAATTAGCCCAGTTCTGTGGGCTCATATTCAGCATTTCAATGAAAGCAATAGATGACTTATTCTGGAGCTCGTTGTATTCATTATGATAAGCATGCATTGTGTAGGCATAGGCAGCTCTCTTCATAATTTGAACACAATCATCCCTAAGTGGTGCTGGTAACCTTTTCTTTGACAAGTTGTTCTTATAATTGGCCATTAAATGGCGGATGCAATAACTGTGATATGAACAAGGGAAGCAATTCTTGACGGAATTTTGAAGTCCTTTGTCTCGATCAGAGATTATAACCAGCTCATCATTCGGAGTATATGGATCATCTGAATTGTACAATACGTCACGAATGCATTCAAGGAACCACTCCCAATTGCTCTCATTCTCGGTTCCACAAATACAAAGAGCGACAGGAAACATTCCTCCATCTCCATTCAAAGCAGTAGCAGCAAGTAGAGTTCCCTTGTACCTATCAAAAAGATGGGTGCCATCCAAGAATAAAATTGGTCTACATCCCTCGACAAAACCCTTCCAACAAGCATAATATGAGATAAAAAAATCTAGTAAATCTGCCATCTTCATCTTCTAGATGGACGATTGATCCTGGGTTAGTTTCCATAACTTTATCCTTGTACCATCTAAATTGTTCATATGAATGTTTTGCATACCCATATAACTCCTGTTGAGCAAGCTCTTTCCCACACCAAGCTCTTCCATAGGGGATATCAACGCCAAACTCTCTCAGAAGCTTCTTTTTAAGATCAATTGCGCGGTAGGTGGGTTGTTCTTTTAGTATGGATTTCACAATATTTGCAACCCACTTACGAGATGCCCGTGGATGTCCCTTCTCTCCTATGCCTCCTCCGAGACAACTATGTGCACGACCAATTTTCTTCACGTAAAACCGTTTGCAGTCTGTACGACGGTTACAATGGACCATCCATTCACAGTCAGCACCTTTGCATTTTACTATCAATCTTCTAGGTTCATTTTTCAAATAAGCAAAGTTAAAACCGAGAGCAATTGAGTAATTTCCAAGACTTTGCCTTAGATGTTCAACATCATTAAATTCTTGTCCGACACTTCTAATGGCATGATACCATGAAATAGGAATCTGAATACTAGATCTCTCAACTTCACGTAATGCATTTTCTGAATTGGATAGATTATGCGTCGAGGATGCATGTTGTTCCGAAAGAGATATGGTAGGATTCCTGCAAACATAAAGCAGTTACCTTATAAGACTAGCAATTAGAAACATTAATGAAAATTCTTATCTAGTACTACAGCTAATTGCCGACATATTATATCGTCATAATTTTTCTTTGAACTACAGAGAAATTAAATAAACATGGATTAATTTTGTGAAATATGGACCTCACAATATACAATAAGTTCTTACCTTATGTGAATGGTGTTTTCCTCTAGACCAAATAATGTATCTCGATCTATGTCAACATGCATCTTAACTATCTTCTTCTTGCAACTTAGATGTACATCGAACATTGTTGACAAATCGACGTCATCATGGACACGTACAAACAATTCTTCTGTATATGGGACTTCATAAGTCAGCTTCACTGGGCTTGAAAAAAAAGCAATTCTACTTTGCACCTCGGCCACTAAATTACTGAAAGTCCCCTTGATATTCATTGGAATCAAATGATTGTTTCCTCTAAAGTCCATAATTGCACAATATAGCTCTTCTTCCATTACTGAAATTCATAAAAAATAAAATAAGTGGAAAACTAACTAACAATCAAATATTACCAAACAAACACAAGTCTAACATGCATTTTCTTATTGTATACGATATAATTCAACATCGGCATTCAATATGCAATTCTCTATGTTTCTATACAATATAATTCAATATTCATTCCTAAATATTCAAAGACCAGATTTTTCTACATTCTATAGAAATGAGGAACAAATGATTTTTATTTTGTGAATCAAATAAAGAAAATATACTATAGAAATGAGGAACAAATGATTTTTATTTTGTGAATCAAATAAAGAAAATATAGAACGGGTACATTGTTTAGCTTTTCATAGCACTTTTTAAAGAAAGTATAGCACTTTCCTAACTCTCACTACAAATGATGTAATCAACAGAATTAAGGTTTTCTCATGAGAAAATAGTAGTCTCAATACAATAAAGGTTTTCTCATTTAAAAATTTAGACATTTCAACAAATCAAGATATAAAGATGGGATCTCAATCACTTTATAGTTACCTTTAAATTTCTTCTTTTACTGCAAGAAACGAACATGAGATCTCAACCACTAATCTGATGTAGGATTAATGTCTTCTATGAAGAGAAATATTAATGGAGGAGAGAGATTTCTCAAGAAGAGAGGAGAAATTAATGGAGGAGAGAGAGAAGGAGAGAGTAATTGAAGATGGGTACCAAATTGGGGGCTTGTGAAGAGTGAGTGTAGCCCGCCCTTTTCTCCCGCCATTGTCGCCATTAATACCTACTGTTGACGGTGATGAGAAGAAGAGAGAAAGGGCAAAGTCGGGTTTCTCTATTTTGGGGAAAATACAATATAGAGATAGAGAGGTATAAGGAGCATTGGGTTTAAAACTAAGCCAAATGGGTATAATGGGTTTATTGGTGTTCAGTAAAGTGGATGGGTTTTAAAATAATTGGGGGTAAAACTTTGGGTTAAAATAGGATTTTCCCTTATACAAATTGGTCGTCGACCGACCAATGCCCTAGTGCAGTCGACCGACATCATGTCTTGTTTATGATGGTTTTTCTTACACGTCATGTCTTGTTTATGATGGTTTTTCTTACACGTTGTTCGTGAACACGGGGTTCAAGACGTACAACAATTTACACGTACGACATAGATGTACACCTACGGAGGCTTGGCACACGTGAACTTTCGAGAAGGGGATAGTTGCATGTATTGTTTTTACCACGACAGGGAGATGATTAGTTAGAACAATATATGTGTGTGTATGGATACCGTTGATGGGCACAGCTCGGTACTGCTTAAGGTAGTGCGTTAGTATACTGTTGAAGTAGGCCATTAAGTCGTAATTGTAGGATGCTTGAATAGATAGTCCGTTCTGCATAGTGATGCGATGAGGCTAGTGAGCCTTATTTATTGGATGCATGAGAAGGAAGTCCGTTCCGCATGGTGATGTGATGAGGATGTCTGAGGAGACAGTCTGTTCCGCATGGTGATGCGATGAAGCTAATGAGTCGTACTTGTAGGATACCTGAGGAGGTAGTTTGTTTCGCACGATGATGCGATGATGCTAGTGAGTCATATTTACTTAGGATGTCTGAACAGGTAGTCTATTCCGCATAATGATGCGATAATACTATAGAACTTTACAAGAGATAGTATTGTGAAACCTAGGGCAACTCGAGTTTAAGGCGGGAGATCATTTATTTACGTGGTTCACCGTTGAGTTATTTTGTGACGAGGTATACGGTATTATGCATTTCACATGATTATGTTTTGATATTCCTATTGACTACCCAAGGGTAGCATGAGATGTTGGGTTGACATATATGACATGGTTTGGTTGACATTTTAGTATTGTAATTCTTTATTCCTTTATCTTGGTTGATATTTTAGTTTTAGAGTTGATATTTAGCGATTCATAATTTGAGACATTGATATATACATGAGGTTTTCCTTGTTTGCATTATTTCACTCGACGTACCCGTCTCGTGTTGTGGATTTCTAAGTATTAACCCCATCTAGTATAGAGTAAATGATTTAGGTAGACTATGCATATATAGGTAGAGCCTCCATCATATGTAGTAGCCCTTTTCCTGGGGGCGGATGGAGATGATCTTGCTAGCGCTCTGATGCTGTTGTTTCCTCTTCTTTTCAGGCAGCGGATCAGATTTCGGAGAGCCGCAGGTTGATGGAGTTTCTGCATAGTCGCCGTCATTTCTTAATAAAAAGCTTTTGCTGTACATTAGTTTAGTATTTGTTTAGTGATTTATAAACTTATATTTCATTTTGAAGGCTGAGAGCCTTAGTACTATTTCAGTTGACTTTGTGTATTGAGATATTTCACATTTATTTTCGTTCTTCAGTTGTACTCTTTTTATTTAGTTGGGACCTGATCATATTCTTTGGATATTTATTTTTCTTGGCATGTTCATTGTATTTTTACTTTTCTCGTATCTACTTGTACCTGCACTATTCTTAATTGATTCTACTAGAAAGATATTACCGTGATGGTTAAACGTGTTATTGCACTATGTGGGTGCATGACAGATTTGACATCTCTAGATTCACTCTAGACTACAACCTCGTTTGAAACTTGCGGTGTCACAGTACGGGACTACTAGTCCCATAGGTTTTGGTTGTGAACTTCAGCACATCCAGAAAATCTACGGGACTAGTAGTTACCGCAGATTTGCTGGCTCTTCACAAAACCCTACTCTCTCTCTCTCTCTCTCTCTCTCTCTCTCTCTCTCTCTCTCTCTCTCTCTAAATCCCCCTCTCTCTCTCTCTCTCTCTCTCTCTCTCTCTCTCTCTCTCTCTCTCTCTCTAAAATCAAAGATGTCAATGATGTTCTCGTTCTCGAATCCTATGATCCTCAACTCCTCTCGCTCTAAGTTCTGGATCGTGATTGGGATCAGGGTCGCTAGTGCTCTAATCATCGCTGAGACCACCCGTCGCCACCGGAGACGATCGTTTAAAGACCTGATCTTGGCCGTAAAAGATTTTGACGCCTTCATTGATTGCTTCAAGATCCTCCCTTCTCCTCAGCCACCACCTCCCGTCGCCAAACTCCAGCTCACCATTCTCACCTTCGCCGTCTCCGACAAGTTTACTCAATTTCATGCTTTTCTTGGGATTAATAATAGGGTATTTATTGGTTTTTGATTTTTTTGGTTTGGTTGTGTCTGTATAGTTTTGATGTGAAGGGTTTTGTTTCGGGGTTTGGGAACCCGGAGTGGGCGAAGCCCCATGAGAAGGCATCAAGGACGGCGGTAGTTGTCTCATTGGTTCTGAAGAATGGGGCGAAGTGCGTTGGGAGAACGGTTATGGATGAATTCACAACCAAAACCTACGGGACTAGTAGTCCCGTAAGTTTTCTGACGTCGTATTAGTCGCCAATTAATGGCGACTAAACATACGGGACTGGCAGTCCCGTATGTTTCGAATACGCAGTTTTTTATAAAAACGATCTCCTTTTGGCCTGTTGGCCAAAAAGATGTCGTTTTTGCTAAATAATTAGCAAAACGGTCGGTTTTGCTAATTATTTAGCAAAAAAGGACTTTTTTAAAAAAAACTCCTTTGTTTATTATAGCATCCAACATCCTTATGTTTGGTAATTGAAAAGGGTAAACTTCATGTAGTTAACCTCTCCTCGTGAATTGAATGATAACTAAGTGCTAATAACGAGTTGAGGGGATGATAAATGCTGTTGCAGCCATAGTTACACAGTATGCGGTACATAGTGGGTCATAATATGAATTCGTGCACATAATTCGCCACTTAAAAATTTGAATTCCTTAGGTGGAAGCTTGCTTCAGTACGCAAGTTCAGTTAGTGGTATGTTGTAAATTTTTTTTGGGTGCGCTTAAAGTTTTCTAAAGTATATAGGAGAAAACTAGAAAGCTAAGTATGAAATTTAATATTTTTTTCGTACAAAATACTTAAACACTTCTTTTTGATGGAGTCCATTTCTTTGTTTTTTTTCTTTTTTTTTCACAGAGCTAGTTTTGGGATCATGGTTTTATTTTACATTTAATTAAAATACGTGTTCTGTTACAGTAAAGTCATTGGCTCATATACTCTATTGTGTGTCTCCCTTCACTTAATTGCCTACATTTCATTACGTCTTGCGCACGTGCACTTAATGAGACTTTGCATCTAGCATACTTGTAAGTGGTGCATCAATTTTGGGGAACCGGTTTGTGTATTGCAGGAGATCTGTTAGCAAATATATTAAGAATCGGGTTGCAGCAACTGTACGACGATTCGAGGGGGGGGGGGCCGTTGGAGGGGGGGGGGTCCGGGAATCGTGCAACGATGGCTGAAGTTATAGATGAAGGAGTGTCATCAGCAACTTACCTATAGAGAAAAAATAACTTAAACTAAGGAAAAAAATAGTACATAGAATTTTTAATAGTAGGTCCATTCTTACAATTTAACAATGACCGCAAGTCGAGCATATAAAGCATAGTAACATATGTATCTTTTGGGAAATGTACCAACTTACCTTGTTTTCGATTTTCTAATTTAAATTATGCATACTCGAAAACTCAAAATGCTTTACAGTTGTTTGTTATATATCTTCTGGAACAACAACAAAAATTCCAATATTGACTGGGCGAGTTTATCGTGTGCATTGTTGTACTCATCCTTCGTATATGTATCAACTGATCATTCTTCCCCCCTATGGCTTGAGACATTGCATATCTATTTGATATAACTTTTTCATAGTGGATTATATTTAAGCTGGTTCTTTGAGAAAAATTTTGGTGAAAGGAGCTTAATTTCTCATATCTTTTTTCGTATTTCTCAGTGTCATCTTTCATCATTTATCCGAAGAGCTACTGCAAGGTACGTCATAATTAAATCTACGCACAAGAAGTGTTTGTGTTATTGCTTGAAACATACATGGGTGCTTTGTTTTTCTCGTCATCGATTATCAGTTGTATGCGACTTCCTTAATCATAAGAAAGCTCTTCAATAAAGTTTCAAATTCCTTAACGTCCCTCATTT